ATAACAAGACAAGTCCATTGGTTTCTTGTTCATATTCTTCGCATTCTTTTATTGAACACATAAGTATTGCCATGAAAAATCATGTTTGGTTTATAATCAATTTTTTGTTTTCTCTGAACAGTAATTTCAGACTTCATGTGGACTTTGAACAATGTACTTCGTGTTTTTTGCTGAAGTCTAGTTTATAACTATTGCAATTTCAGACTTTTTCTTGTAAATTAACCTTCTGACTAGAGTATTCCCGACTATTACCTTAAGTTTGGTTTTTCACCAGTATAATTCTTAAATTTTTGCTGAAGTATGGATTATGATTATTCCAGTCTTTTTTAAGTTTATTTATATTTCTTTAATTATATACATATATTTTTTTAATTAAAATGTATTTTTTTATGTTTTTAAATTAAAATGAATTATTAATTTTTCCCCCGCGTTCCTCCCAAAATGCGTGAGGTGGGGCGCCACTGGCGCTTCATTTGCCGGCACTGTTTATAAGATTTCTTGTAATCAAATAATTATGAACAGATCGTCAACCGATAACAAACAAAAAGTCTTCCAGAATAGAAGCTTCAACGTGGCTTTGCCTGAATTCATGTAACGTTCGAAAGGAAAAATTAAACGATTCGTAAAAAATTTTTTTATTTATCGTTAAATTATAATTTTGAATAAACGGAATACATTGGTGATTTCCTTGGATCTGACGTAAAATACATTTTTTCATCAGTTGGATCTCCAATAAAACCATCCTTTAATAATTGATTTTTATATTTGGTATTTTCGCAGTATTGATCGAAATCTTTAACTCCTCTCTTAAGAAGCAATTCATCATCAATAAAGAAATTTCCTGTTGTAGTTTTTGGGTCTGAAGTTAAAATTGCATATGCGGCATCTGCCATTATTTCTGGTTTTCTAGTGTAAGATAAACCTTCAATTCCAATCAACATACTCCCAGCGGCTGTATTTACAACTAAAACATATTTCGTTTATTAACGTTATCTTTTACTTATTAACAACATGCCTGTTTTTGGCCATAAAGCATTAACACCAATCCCAAATTGTTTTAATTCCTTACTCATCCCCAAAGCACACATTGACATTCCATATTTAGCCATGGTGTAAGCAACACTTTTCGAAAACCACCCCGGATGCATATTAAGCGGGGGAGAAATATTTAAAATGTGCGGATGAGAACTTTTTTTTAAATAAGGAATACACTCTTTACTAACCATAAAAGTCCCCCTCGTATTAATTTGATGCATCAAATCGAATCGTTTCATTTCTGTGTCAACAGTACCAGTTAATGAGATTGCAGAAGCATTGTTAACAACGATATCAATCCCGCCAAATTTTTCGATCGTTTTTTTAATCGCATTTTGAACTTGTTTTTCATCGCGTACATCTACGATGCAAGGGAAAGCTTTTCCTCCGACGTTTTCGATTTCTTTTGCTGCCGTGTAAATAGTACCGGGGAGTTTCGGATGGGGTTCGGCCGTTTTTGCGGCTAAAACTATGTTCGCACCATCTTTCGCTGCTTTTAAAGCAATTGCTAAACCAATTCCGCGACTTGCACCGGTTACAAACAAAGTTTTCCCAGCTAATTTCCTACAATCATTATTAATTATTATATAATTAATTTTATAAACTCGTTTTACTTACCCAGTATTTTGCATTTTACTTACTCGAAGTACTGATTATTACTGAGCGAAATAAGATTAATAACGTATTTTTTTTGTTTTGAGAATGACGTTGCGAAAGATAACATTTTATCAAATAAATTTAAACTTTTGTAAACAAAATCTTTGAGTTATTTATTTAAAATTATCACAAATTATAATTTTGAGTACATTGGAGATTGTCTTGGGTCTGATTTAAATGTCATTATTCCATCAGTAGGGTCACCAACGAATATATCCCTAAATAATTCATCTTTCGTCTCAACATTTTGACAGTATTGATCAAAATTTGTCACTCCTCTCTTAAGAAGCAATTCATCATCAATAAAGAAGTTTCCTGTTGTTGTTTTTGGATCGGAAGTTAAAATTGCATAGGCAGCATCTGCCATTATTTCAGGTTTCCTGGAATGATTTACAGATGTATCTCCTCCCAATAAACTAGTAGCTGCAGTATTCACAGCTAAAAATGTTACAATGCATCAATTAATTCGATATCTTTAATTTATTAACTTACTTGTTTTTGGCCATAAGGCATTAACACCGATTCCAAACGGTTTTAATTCATCACTCATTCCCAAAACACACATAGACATTCCGTATTTAGCCATAGTATAAGCAACATTTCTCGAAAACCATCCAGGATGCATGTTAAGTGGAGGGGAAATATTTAAAATATGTGGATGAGAACTTTTTTGTAAATAAGGTATACACTCTTTCGAAACCATGAAAGTCCCCCTCGTATTAATGTTGTGCATCAAATCGTAACGTTTCATTTCAGTGTCTACAGTTCCAGTGATTGAAATAGCTGAAGCGTTATTAATAACAATATCAATTCCACCGAATTTTTGCACAGCTTTTTTTACAGCTTCTTGTACTTGTTTCTCATCACGTACATCAACAATACACGGAAGGGCTTTTCCCCCAGCTCTTTCAATTTCCGCGGCTGCTGTGTAAATAGTTCCTGGAAGTTTCGGATGAGGTTCGGCCGTTTTTGCAGCTAAAACTATGTTTGCACCATCTTTTGCGGCTTTTAACGCGATTGCTAAACCAATTCCGCGACTTGCGCCGGTTATAAATAAAGTTTTTCCGAATAATTTTCTAAAATCGATTACATTTAAATTAAAATTATTAGGAAATTATTAAATACTTACCCAGTATTTTCCATTTTACTTCAATAAAATATAAAATAAGAATGAGGAAAGTAATCTCAATGACAGTGATAATATAGAGACTGTTATTTAAAGTGGAATGACTTTGCATTTATATTGAATGTGTTATCTCAACGCTTATCTCGTTGAGAGTTCAAAGTTTCTTTTTCTTTTAATTTTAAACCAAAATATTGTCTTTAAGAAACTATTTTAATTAATAAATCGTTAACTGCCCTAACAAAACCTGAATAATTAATTAATAGTAAAATAATGTTGAGTAGTACAGAAATATTTAAACTAAAAGTATAACTAACACTAGCTAACTAAAAAAGGTAACTAATAAACATATAATGTTCTCTGTTTAATCATCTGGTTAAATGAGGCAGATGCAGGCCAATCATGGAAAGATGTCGTTTTATAACTCTGTATATGATTTAAATTGGAATTTCATATCGCATGATGATTTGACTGCCAATCAAAGGTGTAATAAATTTCAAATTATCAAACCAATTTTTCAAAGGAAAAAATTGCTGATTTTCTGCAGATCTCAAGAGCATGAGGAATCGCATGCCCTTGAGTTGCATTTCTGAGGCGATATTTACAATGTCATAGGTTGTCAACTTTCTAACAAAAAATTATAGACACAAAATAAAGGATGCTAAAGTTAGATATAATGATGAGATTTTAAAACAAAAAAAATATTAATGTAAGTATATGTGGAAAATAGTGATCAGTCATCGAATAAGCAAGAAAAGTGATACTAAAGCAATGTTTGACCCAAATGAAGTACATGATTACTTTATAAATGTTCCCCTGGATCTTGTTAATAAAATTCAGCTGGGTAACTTGACAACTAACTTTAATCAGCTGCTATCGAATATCACCTGGGAAATTCTGCCTGGAGCCGATCGGTTTAACTGAGGTTCGTGATATAATTTGTAATATCAGATAAAAGGATAAAAGATGTAATATCAGCGCCCTTAAAAAAATTAATCAATTATTGCATGAAAGAAAATACTTTTTCAAATGCTTTAGATTAGGATTGGTAACTCCTGTCTTTAAGAAAGGCGATCCTCTTGTAATAGAAAATTATCGACCAATCTCACTCCTGCCTGTATATATAATACTAGAAACATCAACATATTAACTTTAGACTTGCACAACTCGGCATTGTACGAAAACTCTCCGCTCTACTCGTGCGCCAAAATATTTAACAAATTACCAAATGATGTTAAATCTTTACCTCTGGACAAATTTAAAATTACTCTTAAAAAAAGAATCACGGAAGCATGTTACTATTCTCTGGATGAATACTATAACGATTAGTTTATTATTTTCTCGGCTTATTGTGTATTTATACTATATTGTGTACTTATTTTTGACATACCTTGTACTACTAACTATAGTCTGAAAGGGTGAATAAAGGTGATTTGATTTGATTTGTATTCTCAAAAATGTTTGAAAAAATCATAAATCGATTTTTTTGAAAATAATAACTTGTTGGCGTCATGTCAATATGGATTTCGTCAGAATCGTAGCACGGGAGATGCGATTATGGATTTTGTACAACAGGCAATAGACTGTTATGAGAGAGCCGAGTCTATGACAGCTACGTTCTGCGACCTCAGCAAGGCCTTTGAATGTGTGAACATAATTTATTAATAAAGAGGCTGAGTAGATATAACTTTGTTGACAGTAGTATTAAGATGATTCAATCGTATCTTGGTGGCTGAAGACAAATAATCTGTTGTAATGATAGCTATTCTACATCGGAGTGCATTTCTATTGGAGTTCTATAAGGGTTAGTGTTGGAGCCACTGCTTTTCCTCATTTACATACATGACTTACCTGCTTCAATATCTAAGTCTTCAATCATATTCTACGCTGACGACACTACTTTAATCAGTGTTACGGTTGGAGTTGATTTTGATTTTTTTTTGAGGGTTTTTAAATGATTTTCAAAGCGCAATGGTTGATATTGGTTTATTTTATTGCTCGATGCAAAATTGAAAAATTGTATTTTATTTTTGTTTGAAAACATGTGGCGTGACGTCGAACTCGGAGAAAACCAGTTTGTGCGCGGACGATTGGTGCATTTTTCTGAAAAGAAGAGGTGAACGAAAGGTTTTGGGAAAGACGTTCGTTTAGAGTAAAAAGTTCTTACTTACCTTAGAAAAAGGGAATATATTGAGCGATTATTCTATCCCAGTGTAGTGTGGTGTGTTTTTGAGTATTTTTGGTAAATATCATCACCATTCGCTTATGCGGAAGTTATAAACTTTCGAAAAGAATCTGTGGAAACCGACCAACAACTAAGGTTTGTACACCATCTTGGCGTGAATTATCGATTTATCTGGAAACAAAAATTAATTTAAATATATTTAACTATATCTAGGTTTCAACTTATACTAGTTTTCAAGATAGTACTAGTTTCGAATTTATAAAACTACTGTTCTACTAATGTTCGAGTACTCACCGTACTTAATTAATCAGGAGCAGATTAATTGGAGATCTTCATAAGTGTTTACGTCATCGCTAGCGTGGTAACCTGGTGGAGATCTAAAAAAAAAAAAAAAGATAAACCAGATAAGTGAATTTAACTATTTTAAATTACGAACAAACTTACCTGTGTCGAGTAACTAAGATTGAATTCTTTATTTCGGTATTATCGTGATTGTACTTACCTTATTTGTTTATTGAATTCAACATCTGAGGTGAATAGCTTAATGATTTTTTTTTCTTTCTTCGAAGCATATCATTTATTTGATTGGGAGTATTAATTGATTTTGATTTCAATAATTCAAGTTCGTAAATATTTTTTTGTTTAGTTTTCTTTATTTTGTTCGAGACATTATTTAATTTTTTTTTATGCATTTTCTTAATGTTGTTGTGAGGGGAAACATAAGCTTATGCGGACCAGAGTTATTTATTTTTGTTGTTGATTTTAAAAGGTATTTTGCATTGTTCAACTTTTAATAAATTTAATTCGTATTATATTTTTTTTAACATCACTGTTTTATTTACTCACACCCGTCTTCACTGAATTAGCCGTAAGCACCCGCAATAGGGTTACATACATATATATATTTTTTTTTGTGTCATCAGTAGGCATAAAATCATCAGTCATATGTGGTCTGAAGTATCCAGACAAGTGCCGTGAATTCTTTATAGATCAGATAATACTAACATTTTCCATGCTATTTATATTGGAGCGTCTGCTGTACTTGCACAACAATGTAGATAAATATACTACCCGCAGAGATACACACATCTACAGAACCCGTAACAATCATAAGCTAAAACCTAAATTTTGCAGACTCTCGTCACAAAGAGGTATAGATTTGACTGCTCTCAAAATTTACAATAAATAACCTTTAACGGTTACACTTTTACCTGTGAGCAAGTTTGCAACATTGATAAAACAATTTCTGCTGTTCAGAGGTTTCTATTCTTAATTGGAGTTCCTTAAATATGAAGTTTTTTTAAGGGATTTTGTCGCATTGAACATCGGTCGTGACAGCATCAATTCATAGAATGATGATCTATATCTTAATGCCGCCTAAAGACTTGTAGTTACTAAAGCACTGCTGGGCTAAAAAAGAAGCCCTTGTCTAGGTTCCAATTCAATTATGATTCTGTACAATAAGAAACAAATGGGCTGTCTTAGGTATGTTATGAAATTTAAGTTGGTTGCAGAATATAGACAAATATTTGTTTGTTCTACCAATTAGGAACTACCAATTCAACAACAGATTATTGCATAAATGTTTACTAATAATAATAGTTACAATTATCAGACAGAAATCTAGAACAACTTGTTCGTGTGTTTAGATTTGTTCACTTAAAATCATTGATGCGACGATGAAGTGATTTCCACATTTACAGTATTTGCAAATAGTTTCCAAGATTCCTTGTAATCACATAATTCTTAACAGATAGGAAACAGAAAGACTTCCAGGATAGAGGGTCTCTTATAGAAGTTTCAACATGGCTTTGTCTGAGTTCATGTCACCTCTATCAGGCTTTCCAAGAGTTCAGAAGAAGAGCTATATCTGCAGCTAACATCTTCTAGTTGAAGAATTCTAGTTGTATCAATCATTTTTTCACTGAAGCACCTTGTTCAATCACTTTTAGCCTTGCGAATGTTCCTATTATAAGTTGTTAGAGCCTATTTGTATGGTTCTCATTCGCCCAATATTAGAGGTTGTCTAAAATGTCATCGCTTCCTTCCAAGCTGAGTGATTCCACCCAATTGACATGCGTTGCTTTGATGCATAATTTGAACAAAACATAATAGTTGTTATAATCTCTAACAGTAGTGATAACGTCAATGGTATTATAAGCAAGGCGATTCTTTAATTCAGTTGAAAGAAAAGGCAATATGGAGATATGTTGAACGATTTCTGTTCAACACCTTTCAGCTTCGATTTCTAGTACCGCTACCACACAACCATGGACGCCGTAATTTATACTTGAAATAACATTGATATTATTTTTGATAAGTAGACAATCCTTGGTATAATCTATTCACTTTTCAACTGAGATTGAGTGGCCATCCAACAATTCTTCCTACAATGATAAAATCCCATGGACTAAAGCTCTATTCTCTTGAACCAGATCTAGTTATGCACCCCTAACTTATATAAGTAATCTATGACTAAAATAATCTCCTTCCATAATAACACCATATCCGTACTGGTTTGCTTTGAGGTATAAATTGTAGTCAATCAATCCAACTCTTACTCCATTTAATGCTCCTCATCTGAAACAATTTTCGATTTCTCCAGTTCTTGCCTTAAATCTTCTATTTTTTCTCCTCAATATTTAAACCTATACCCGCTGGACGCTCTTTCCTCTAGGAATGTCCTTATTAGCCAACGCATGGTTCAACCAATCAGATAATTGCAACTACAGCAATTGAACACAAGAGAGGGAAGGAAAACAAAAGGAAAACTTTTTCTCCCTAGACGCTCTTAACTCTAGGAATATCCACAATGGACAATTACAATAATATAACAACGATGTTTCGAGAATGAATAAAAAATATTAATAATTAATTAACAAAATCTGAAAGATCTGCGGATCGCTACAAGCTCCTTTCTTGACTTCCTTAAA